TCTGGTATTGGGCCGGTTTTGGTCCAATCCCCGCAGGCCAGGCTGAGGGGCCCCACTGGTGCACGAATTCATGCACCCGGCCTCTAGTATGCATATAAGATCTTTGATTAATCTCTTCCAACCCTCCCCCCCGCCTTCCCTCTGAGATTCATCAGTCTGTAACATGTTTCCATGCCTGTGGTTTTCGCTCCTGCATTGAGCATCTGCCCCTGGTGGTCAGTGTGCATCATAGCTACCAGCTGGTCGCTGGTCACTTAAGCTTTTATATATATACAATAGATATGTATGCATAGTTAATATATATGGAGGCTGAAAATATAATCTTAATGATTTGAAACCAAGCAATATAACTGAAAAATTTGCTTGATGGGATAGTCAGGTGAGCATAATTAGCAATTAACAAATGGACTGAGCTGTTTTCTATCAAATTGGCATGCCTAACTGCAGCAGGTGAGGGAACTTCATTATGGCAAGTGAAAAGCTTCTGTGTCTAGCCTTATCCTCTGCCACTAAAGCATCTGTCCACATCTCTTTCCACGGTAGCTGCGTATAGCTTTAAATAGCAAACCCTGGATTCTCTCTGCCAACTTTTCTCAAGCCAGCCAGGGTTACTGTGGGGCCAGGGTTGCACAAATGATGCCACGATGCCATCTGAGCGAGGCCAGGGAAGGGGTTAGTGAATTGGCCAGCTGCCTGGGCACCAGTGCAGGGAAGCCACGGAGCAGTGCAGCAATTTCCTGTTTGGGGTGAAGCCCTAGAAGGCTGGTTCTGGCTAATCCCAGCCTCTTAAATTCTTTTGTGATACTTGACTGCACCCCTCCCACACACCCTCTCAGAGAAGAATTTGATTTGCACTGTCCACAGGTACAAGGGAATCATAAAGCCCCATCCCACTCCAGCTGATAGTCATTTTGCCTGGGATTTCCACTATTGGAAAAGGCAAATATACTCTTTAGTTATGAGTTTTTAGCTTAGGTCAAATCGCATTAGTAATGGAGCAGACCTGCTCCTTGAAGGACACTGAAGAGATGGGAGACAGGAGAGGTGAGGTGGACTGTGGAGACGAAGCATACATCAGGAAATGCCTGAAGAATCAGGCGATGCCTAGGAAAATAGACCATCAGGAAGGAGATGTACTAAAGAAAAGTCTGTACATTTTTTGTTCTTCACAGTTGTACTTAAGTCTGATCTTGACTTTGCCCCTTCTCTTTCTTTGGAGAGTGAGGACAAAAGAAAAGAAGCAGATTAATTTTTATAAATTCCTTTTAGGGTCATTTCTATCAAGGTGATGAACAGTTCCACACTAAGTAGGGATGATAAGTAGCTTCTTGTCTGATCCATCCTAATTGCCTCAGCAATGGTTTTCTTTTGTAATGTCAGATGCCACTCTCATAATTGGTGGAATTTCAGGGAGACATTTGAGGGCAGACTAAATAGGAGTGGGGTCCCAAGACTCTGCTTTGACTCTCAGTAATATGGAGCAGATGCCCTTCCCAGTGTAGACTACCCTGGAGCTGTGAGCACACCTCGCAGGGGAAGTAAGGGTCTGTGTGTCCTCCCAGGATTTTAGTAATGGACCTGCATGGCCCTTGGATATTGAAGAGCCATTCCCATTTATGGATGAGAAAAGTGATGCCCAGAGAAGTTGAGTGCTGAAATCCATGTCATACATTTCAAATTATGAAAGAACTGGGTTCATAACCCTGTGTCCAGCATCTTCCCTTTGTACCACCTGGTTCTGAATCCAAAGCACTCCTGAGGGGTCTCAAGGCCTCTTCCTAGTCTGTTCAATTAAGTTTTTCCTTCTCCTCAACTTCAAATTCTTGATTTGGCAATATAAAATTATTATTTATTTCAGTATTTTACTTGAGCTGGCTGCCCTTTGCCTTTTCTCATGAAGCATCAATTCTCATTAGACAGTAATGTCCTTCAGAAAATATGTATCAGACTAACAACATGCATATTATTTAATAACAATAAGAAGCATACTGGTTAAGAAAAGAGTGTGGAGAGAGATCAACCAAAGGACTTGTATGCATGAATATAAGCCTAACCAGTGGTTATGGACAACAGGGGTTGGGGGAATACGTGGGGAGGGGTTTGGGATGGGAATAGGGGGATGAGGACAATTATGTGATACCATAATCAATAAAGAAATTTTAAAAAAAGAGTGTGGAGAGCAGTATGAATCCTGGCTTCATCACCTAGGCATAAAACCATTCTAAGTCCCCTGTTCTTATTGCTAAAATAATAAACAATAAATGAATAAACCTGTTGCATCAATTATTGTGAGAATAGATAATCTGTGTAAGCACTTAGTACAGGTCCTGAGACATAATAAATATTCAGTAACAATAATTATTCTTCTTTTTAGTTATGTTCAATGTTTTATTTAATTACCCATACAGCATTGTCATTGCCTTCACTTTAAAAATCATAGAACATTGTCAGCATGCACGTATTTAGACAAGGCTAGTGTTGCTTTCACCAACAGAACAGCAGATCTCTGACAGTTCTGAGGATCAGGTATGTATAGGTACCTGCATACCATTCTGCCTTCATCCTTCTTATCCTCCTTTCTTTCCATCCTTCCTTCTCTCCCTGCCTCCACCCCCCCTCTTGGAAGTCTCTCCCTTTTACTTACTTTTAAAGATTACTCTGAAGATTTGGGCAGTTCAAGCTTAAAAGAAAATACATTAAGTTAAACATTGTAGTCCTGACAGTGGAAAACAAGATACATTAAATCTTTAAAGGTAAATTATTTTTTTCTCAATTGGGCTAACCTTAAGTAGTTGTAGATCCTACTCATGGAAAACAATGTGCTTGTAAAATATGAAGGACAACATTGTTCTCAGGGTTTTGTTCTTTTTAATGTTAATTGTGTAAACAGGTAAGAGGTCTAGAAACTGTGCTTTTCAAGAAAAAAAAGAAGGAATTATTACTCTTGAGTCTGTGTTGCCTTCATGAAATTGTAAAGAAATTGTCTCAAAAATTACTGGAAATATAAAGTTTTTTTCTTCTTTTAATGTATGCATCAAATGTAGATTGAATGTATACTCTGCCTACATTTTCTTATTATTATTTAACTTTTATAGTAGTAAAATTTTTACTCTTTGTTATATGAAAGATTATTGGACAATGCTCAAAATGCTAATGAAATTAAAAATTAGGTTATTCAGCTATCATTATCCTCTCACATTCACAGAATAGCTGTATCTGAAAATAAAGTAAGAGTATATTATTTTCTATCTGGTGGGGTTATGGTTGAGATTTTAATATTTTTAAGACTTAAAACAATTCTGTTAAATAATTGCTAGTGTTAGGCAACTGGCTCACTTTGGTATTTGCTCAGTTCTTACGTGTGTGTTTTTAACTTTGAAGTGAATGTTAGACTTTATAATGGTTTTAACCTTTTAAAAATGTTGTAACATTTTTAACATGGTCAGAAATGAAGACTGTTCTTTTTTCATTGGTTATGATTAATTTCTATAGCAGTTTTCAAGAAAGTTGTTATACAATGCTTAGTGATGGAATAGAATAGAACCTATGTGGGAGAGACTTAAATGTTCAATTTATTAAGTACAGTCGCTCTATATTTATTCTAAAGTTAGTAATAGGAATGGTCTAATTTCAGAGGATCACTCTTTTTTTCACACAGTACCTGCTATGAATCCTAGATCTTGTAGGTGACTTCCATTCCTTGTTTCTGGTCTCGGAGTCTCAACTAACCTTGAGTGTTGTTTCGTGAAGGTATCTTCAACATGGCAGATTGAGCATCTCGTGAGGGTTATAATCAGGACAATGTAGGAGGTGAGGTGCTGCTTAATCTGTTCTGAGAGAGAGGACATTTCATGGAGGTACAATGTAAGTTGGAGAGAAACTAACCTAGTTAAGTTTTACTTAGCGTCTTTGCAAACTGGACCAGGTGTTAAAAAGATCAAAATCTGTACGACTGTTGAGGATGGAGTTTGGCCCGCCACACCTACTTAGAAGGTCAGTGGTGGGAGGAAGGGTTCTCAGCCTTTTTTTCCAATTATGAGTTTGTGTGTAGGAGAAAGGATGTACCATTTCCTCTTCGACTGTGAAGTGTCCTTCCCCTGGGGCCTTTTATTGTCTCAGTTCCAGCAATTTAACCTGGCATCTCACTTAAGTTTGTTCCGCCATAGAAGCTCCCATGTTTTCCTTCCCTGTTTGGTGAAAGGGACATCTGAAGCTTTGTGTATTGGGGGGAAGTTTTAGGGTCATCTTTTATGTGTAATTTAAGAAATAGTCACTTTCGAGGCTGTTTCTTTATAGAATTTGTTTTGGAACAGTTATAAGTAAATTTAGCGTTCACAGCAAGAATGATATAAACTGACATTTGTTGAGAACAGATTACATGCCAGAGACTCTGCTAAGTCCTCTCTTCTCTAATTCTAACAACAACCTTGTGAACTAGGTGCCAAGCTCTTTTTGAAAATTATTCAGAAGACACCTGCTATTATAAGGGAGTACGAGCATTAGAAAAACAAACAAGAGAGGTTGATCACTGTATAGACCTAGACTTAAACAGTTTGAGCCTGTTTATGTATTATCAGACATAAAGATAAGAAATGTTTGGATTCATTTTAAAATGTTAAGTAGCATTAATTTTGACTATTGTTTATTTTACTTATTTTTATCATTAAGGGCTGATTGTGTGTAAGAAACTGTTAAATGTTTTGGTGAGGATATAGATTATTTAAACAGGGGTATTTGAGAGTTTACAGTAGAGTAAGGAACAGTGATTACAGTTTGAATCTGGGCAGAAGTATAGACAAGCGTGGGGAATGGCAGAAAGACTGACTAGGCGACTGACTGGGTAAACTCAGGAGAAGCTGATTGCATGAAAATCTGATGAGCTTCCTGAGAGAGGGATTGCCCCAGGGAAGAAGAATTCAGTTCCTTTGAGCTATTCTGAATTTGAATTGGTCTTGGGCATTGAGAGACAGAGGAACTTGGGCCATGGGATATTTGTTCTTTTTAATATGGAACACTTCACAGATTTGTGTGTCATCCTTGCACAGGGGCCATGCTAATCACTGTGTCCTAATTTTTTAGCACATGTGCTGCCAAATTGAGCACTTTACACTGAGTGGCCAGATTATTATGATCTCTGAACACAAAATAATCTGGCCACTCAGTGTATATCCTATATAATAAAAGGCTAATATGCAAATTGTCCCCTTAACCAGGGTTTGACCAGCAGGCAGGCCGGCCAATGGCTCATGTCCCCTCCCCCTGGCCAGGCTGGCCGGACCCCACCCATGCACAAATTCATGCACCAGGCCTCTAAAGAAACACACACACACACACACACACACACACACACACACACACACACCTTAAGTGCCCAGATTATTATGTGCTCAGAGATCATAATAATCTGGCCACTCAGTGTATATTTTTCTTTTAAATCCCCACCCAAGGATATGTTTTCATTGACTTTTAGAGACATAGGAAGGAAGGGAGGGAGGGATGGAGGGAGGGAAGTAAGGTCGGGAGGGAGGGAAGGAAGGAGGGGGGAAGGAAGGAGGGAGGGAAGGAGAGAGAATGAGAATGGAGGGAAAGGGGTGGGAATTCAGAAGACAGAATAAGAATTGTTACTCTGATCCTATGGCCCAAGGAAGAGTTCAGAGAGGAAAGTCTTAAAAAGAATATTTACTATTTAAATATGAAGAGATCAGAAAGAGGGAGAATGCCAGTCTGCATGGAGAAAAATATAGTAGTAAAGATATAAAATTGGCAAATATGGGGAAGGAAGGAGAACTGTGAAACTTAATTGGTATCATCATGGGACATGTAAAGAGTTTCTGAGGGGCAGTATAAACAAGAATTTCCTGGTTGGCATTATACTCAAGAAGATTAAGTAATTAGTTTACATGATGGGGAGTAAAACAGGAGTGAAGAAGTGGTGGAGCAATTTAGAGGCTCTTCAGTAGCTACAATACACTAATGCGATGCAATGCAATGCAATACAATACAATAATAGGAAGGATTAGGAGCTGGAGAAGTAGCTGTGGACGTAGTGAAAGGGAAAAGATTGCGTAACAGTATTGAGTGGGATTCCTACAACTTGGCAACTGGTGTGGAAGAGTATGTGTAGTGGGATCAAAGATGAACTGAACTGAGCTGAAAGTTTTGGGATGACTAGAAAATATGGAAAACAGAACAGAAGAAAAACTTTTGATAAATTCCAAGACATATTGAATATGAACTGCCAACATGATGTGCAGATAGAGATGTTTAACAGACAGCCAGGAGCTGTGGGAACTCTGGAGAGATACAGGGCCAGGGAGAGGAATTTGAAGATATGGGCATAAGGAAGGTAACTGATGCTGAGCAGTGGATAGAGTTGAGGATGTTCAGATGGGAAGAGCTGAAATGTAGAGCCTTGGAGCATATGTATTTACGTTTATTTATTTATTTATTTATTTATTTATTTATTCATTCATTTATGCAATTTTAGGTTCATAGCAAATTTGAGCAGAAGGTACAGATTCCCAAGTACACTCTGCCCCCCTGCATATGCCTAAGATACTTATATTCAGGGAACAAGAAGAATAGGACCCAGAGGAAGAGGCAGAAAGAAGTAGCCCACCAAAGGAAAGTTAACACAAGAGTACAGAGTTTATAGAAAGCAAAAGATTTAAAGTTTAGGGTCAAGTTTAAATTGCTAAAATAACTAAATTACAGAATCTTTTTTGTTCGAAGTGGTCACATTAACTAAAATTATGCCAAAATAGCCCTGGCCAGGTAACCAGCTGGTCAGAGCATTGTCCTCATACATCAAGGTTGGGGGGCCTCGATCCCTCATCAGAGCACATACAAGAATAAATCAATGCTTAAGTAAGTAGAACAACAAATTGATCTCTCTCTCCCTCCCTCCTTCCCTCCCTCCCTCTCTCTGTCAAAAGGAATCAATAAGTAAAATTTTAAATTACACCAAAATAGTATTCCTAAGAAGACATTCCTATGGAATCTACTTAGTATAGAATCTATTCAGGTATTGGTATCTTGAGATTATATTTGTTCATGGTTGAATTAGCTAGGTGACATTTCAAAGTTTCCTTAAAATAAAAAGTATTCCTGTCCTAGCTGGTATGGCTCAATGGATAGAGCATCTGCCTGAAGATTGAAGGGTATCAGGTTCTATTCCTGCCAAGGGCACATGGCCTGGGTTGTAGGCTTGATCCCAAGTAGGGGGCGCACAGGAGGCAGCCAGTCAATGATTGTCATCATTGATGTTTCTATCTCTCTATCCCTTTCCCCTCTCCCTTCCTCTCTGAAATCAATAAAAATATATTAAAAATATTTCTCTTAATTCTTCTGTTTCTCAGTTCAGAAAATTGTATCAATATTATTTGACTCATCTTCCCCATGTTAAATATGACCACACTTTTGTTTTCTATAGTTGCCTTAAATATATCTTAAGAAAGTAAAATAAAAATAACTTAGTTTTTCTGTCCAAGAGTTATTTGTGGGCAATTTTAACTACTAATTTGTTTTAACCGCCCCCTGCCCCCTTCTCCTTTAGTCTGCTTATAAGCTGCTTCAGAATCATTACTATTAATGAGTCATTGCTGGGGTACAGATTAAAAGCTAACATCCCAAATTCATATAGGAGTAGTAGAGAGGACATTTGGAGGGGATGGTAGTATGCCTATATAGGTGGGCTTCCATATTTCTCTTTATAGAGTTATACATATTTTATAATGTACATGTGCTTATTTATTGCAGTTTATAGATGTACTTTTTGAATTGGTATTATTATTGTACATGGTGAATAATGATATTGTGCATTTCCATGACATTGTGTTTGTTATTTGCATATATTCGAAGGTGAAAATTACATGCTTGATGTGACTGGGAGCATATATGGCTTAAACAATAAGCATAAGTGCAGGGGCATTTATTTATTACCCATGTAGATCCGCAATAAAGTTTTAAACAAGTCAAAAGAGTCAGGGGTGCATTTATCTCTGTATTGGACATCAACACCAAGAGATATCAAGCCCTTAGGTAGGGAACCAGCTAAGTGTCTATAGAGTTTCATGTTAGGATAGAAGGATGAATGTAAAAATGGCTCTTGACTTTCCATCAACCTGAAAAGATATCATGGATGAAGTGGTGGGATTTTTGTAGTGATTTAAATACTAATTAAGAACAGTGCCCTATAAACAGTAGACCAAAACGTGGTGTGTTCTCAGCATATCCCAACCTCACCAGTTGGGTGTTTTAGTTGTCAAGAGAAATAGTACTGGCTAACATGATGAGACATGGAATATGCTTGACGTATTTTGGATGACTCACATAAACTTAAGGAAAAGCTAAACAGCCAAGCTTTAAGACGACAGGAACCAAGACAGCAAGAACTCTGTCAAAATCCATTTTCTGGGAGATTGGAATGGCTAAGTTCCAACCATCACATCCTGTAGATTCAAATCCCCAGGAGTGAGATTCCAATTCGGTCATCTTTGATTGAATCATCCTTTAAAAGATGGCATGCGAGGGGTTGCTGTCCTAAAGAAGAGTGAGGTGCGGTTAACACAAGAAGAGAAAAGAGGTGCTGGACAGGCAAACACCAGAGACCTGCCACAGACACTTACTGTGCTTCATCCTTCTTTTAAAAAAAGTTGTAAAGAATGGGCTTGAGTGGCCTCTGAAACGAAATCTATATTTGTATACACTTACATGTGCGGATAGACATCCCACTCATACATACATTATACACTGTCTTCAGATGATCTCTGCCACTCTTTCCCCTTACTCACTACTCTTGTGGTTGACTTACCAACTGCCACACTACAGGCTGCCCTTTTTCCCTCAAAGAGAAAATTTAAAGAAGTCCAAAAAGCCTCCCAGGACACATTATTATAGAGTGTCATATATGACAAGTACTGGGGTCAACTTAATATGGAAAGTCATTTTTGGGTTGATAATGAAGGCTGTTTATTTTTTTTAGGCAAAGAACTGTGTTTCCGTATCATTTAGTTAGAGTGGAATTGACATAGACTTACGTGACTATTCTTATCTGCCGGTAGGAGGAGATTCTCCTGCTAAAATAAGCTTTTTTTCCTGGTGTGCTGTTCGGCTTCTGGTTCAGAACTTCATTTGCTATGTTAAAAACATGTCCAAAAGGCACATGAAAACATGCTCAAAGTCACTAATTGTCCAAGAGGTGCAAATCAAAACAACAATGCGGTACCATCTCACTCCTGTCAGAATGGCCAACATCAACAAATCAACAAACGACAAGTGTTGGCGAGGTTGCGGAGAAAAAGGAACCCTCGTGCACTGCTGGTGGGAATGCAGACTGGTGCAACCACTGTGGAGAACAGTGTGGAGTTTCCTCAAAAAACTGAAAATGGAACTCCCATTTGACCCAGTAATCCCACTCCTAGGAATATATCCCAAGAAACTAGAAACACCAATCAGAAAGGATATTTGCACCCCTATGTTCATAGCAGCACAATCTACAATAGCCAGAATTTGGAAACAGCCTAGGTGCCCGTCAGCAGATGAATGGATCCAAAAACTATGGTACATCTACAGAATGGAGTACTATGCTGCCATAAAAAAGAAGGAATTCTCATCATTTGCAGCAACCTGGATGGAACTGGAGAGCATCATGCTGAGTGAAATAAGCCAATCATTGAAGGAGAAACACCACATGACCTCACTCATTGGTGGATGATAAAGATCATTATAAACTGATGAACCAAGAGACAGATATAGAGAAAGTAAAGCAACAGGCAGACTGTCAAATTACAGTGGGGAGGGGAGGAAGATCTGGGGGAGATAATAGATCAACTGAAGGACTTGTATACATGCATATAAGTACAACCAATGGACATAAAACTCTGGGGAGGGAGGGGATGTGTGGGAGAGAGGGAGGGGGCAAAAAAATCAATAAAATATGTAAAAAAAAATAATAAAATAAATAAATAAATAAAAATAAAAAAGGTAAAAAACCACCACAACAACAACAAAAAAAAAACATGTCCAGTGCTGTCAACAGAAATCTAGAGCTTGCATGTAAACTTTCCTCCCTGAAAACAAAGTGTTTTCAGCTTTTCTAGTAA